TCTTTTTGTAATATGATGTAATATCATTCTGATACATCAAAAATAAGAATCCATTACTTTAAGAATACTGCATAATTCTCCACTGTGTTGCGTCTCCAAGCAATCTATTTCTTGTACATTTGTTCAGATAAAATATCTCAAGGCAGGCCTCAACACAATGTTATTTCATACATATCTGTAAAATATACAAGTGTCTTGCAAGATTTCATATATAAAGATAATCTACATTTTCCTTTATTATACCTCTAAATAATAAATTGAAATGGTCTGCAAACACATGCATTATCCAAGGCCATTCATCATTACATAGCATCTTCTACATAACTACATCATAGGTAAATTAAATGCAATTATGACCACCTTCTTGTCTTTGCTATAATGTATAGGAATTGATGAGGCTTCTACTAAGGTATATTTACTAAACCTAAATTATGGAGATTTCTTCTTTTTTTTTGTACTTTTTTCATGAATAGAGATCACTATTCTTTAAACACTGACAAATACTATGAATTGGTAACTATTGAGTGGGAAGGTTAAGGGGACACACACACGCATGCACACGCGCACGCACACGCACACACGCACACACAAAGAAGAAAACAGGAATAGGGGAAGGTATTTCTCAACCATACTAGGATTCATGAGGCAGACATTGCTGTCGGACCTCAAGATAAAAGAAGGAACATGGAAATCATTCATTATTATTCTGTCGTAAGAATAAAAATCTCATATTAAAATAATCAAGTAAAACAAACATTTTTGTGGTACCAACTCGACTGCCTTGTCATAGTAAAATTGACTTTGGGTTTCGTTCTCTCCACCTGTCTACGGCCTCTCTCACAATGATACTCCTTCAGTGACAATATCCCCTAGAGCTTTAATTACCACTGCCACACACTTTGAAAAAGTGACTGAGGAATTATCAAAATCTGTCACTTCAGGCTTTATACAAAAATCTTCAACTCGGATTTTCTCATAATTTCTGTCACTAACAATGAAAAATATGCCATCTTGTCAGATCTTTTTTTCATTATCTCCTTGGTATATGAAAGCCCAAAATAATTTCCATCATGGAGTCAAATATTCATTCATTCTTTTTAGCCGTCATCACGAATGAACAATACGCAAACTTAGCACCCTGACGTCCTCTTACTTTAAAGCGTAATGAAGATCTACAATGAATGCTTCTTCAGACTAGCTTAGGTTTAAGTTTAAAGTTGCTAATGTTTTGTTCGCTTGAGCAATAATTGAATAGAATAATAAGTAGAACTGCATAGCGGATACATTGTTGTTCATTATAATAAAACAATGCTAATTTTGTAACAAAAATATGATCAGCATCCTTTGGCACAAAGTACTGGGTGCAACCTCTTACTGTGACACATTCTGCAAGGAAAATCATATCCTGTAGCAAACCTGTATTTCATTTCAATAAAAAAAAGCTATGAATGAAGTCCAAAGCTTTGGAATGAGTACTCACACTTTCAGAATAGGCTCACCAAATGCATCGTAACTAATGGCAACAGACTACAATCTAAAATGCAAAATTTTCATTTTTCTTCAGCTGTTGACCTTGTTTAAAATGTGAAAGCCTCTTCTTTGGTGCTCATGTCATGAATCACATCTTAACACTGTCAATATTTTGCTTATTACATATAGGAATATAGTAGACCCTTAGAGCACCAGGTTATAAAATAAGTAAACTGGAATTTTCCATTTACGTGGATTCGCATACAATATAAAATGTGAATCACTTTTCGTAATGCCAACTCTTCCTCGATGATTTACTGGAAAACATAAAAAGATTAATAATCATAAAAAGACTACTCTATGCTGTACATAACTATTATTTTTACTAAAGACTGCTTACAATAAATTTGTACATTACTCATAGCTGAGATCCCTGTACTGTGCTGCACTTACATCCTCAAAAAATACAGTCCACAATAGCTTCTATGGCCATAATAATCTATCTTTTTCTTAAATAACTTCTTTGATATCATATTTACGACTCCTTAGCACCATATCTTTCATAAAACTGCTGTCCATATTTTTGGTGTTCATACAAAGCCGAATAGCAAATCAGTTACACAACATACATCTCTGGTAACCACAGTACAACTAAATACCTTAAAATTAAATAAAGAAAATACAATGTGCATTTCCGTCCTCCAAGAAGGGAATCACAATCTTTTTATATAAGAACATAACGCTCGGATAGCCTGATCAACGATTAGTATCAGCCTTTACCTGATGTGAAAGGAAGTGGCGAGGGAGGGATTAATAATATGCATACTCTCATGCAGCCTGTCATTGATACAACTGGCATCACAAGATTAAAACTAAAAGACAATTCAACTCAAGATCTCCAACAAAAAAGTTGGAGTCCTTTCAAAATAAAATCTTGGAAGTCCATCTGAAGAAAAGAAGAAAAAAAAAAAGGTTCAAATTTCCATTCTGAGACCACTTCATCTATGAAGGCATTGGTATCATTTACACAAAAGTTTATTTGTACAATGAAATAAAACTACTTGTGCCACCTGAGGAACTGGCAGTGGTTACTGTGATCTGAGGTAAAAACCACGCATCTGTGGCCTGTTGATTTAAAGTAAGTGATTTCCCTATAACAATATTGTCCATTCTCCTCAAGTGGCTTTTATAAGACTGGTGGGATGCAACAGCTTCACAACTTCACCAGAAAGAACAGAATGTTTGTTACTGTGTCCTTGTCGGTGGGAGAATTACTTTTTTTCTTTCTTTTGGGGAGTGGGGGTGGGGTGGGGGGGCAATTATACACCAAGGGCTCGGGTTAAAGGTGTGAGATGTAAGCGCAACACCTGAGCATAGGTCATTGGTCTGTAAACTTGTTCAGTGACTTCCAAAGCCTTCTGGCGCCAGCACAGGTCTGAAATAAGATGATTATCAGTCAGAATAATATCCAACAATAATAGCATATGAATCAAATTTGTTTCAACAATACAGAACTGTAAAGTTCAAAATGCAATCCTGCAGATATAAAGTTATTACCCGTGTTTAAATTTAAACCTACCTTCTTTCTTAACAACAACATTGCGAATGTCAGGAAACTCTGGACTCATTGGTGAGAAGATGGGTGAATTAAGAATGCCAACAGGCTCTACCAGGGGTCCTTCCCACTCTTGCTGAGATTCCTCATTTTCGACTTCCATCTCCATCTCTTCCTCCTCTTCCTCCTCCTCTTCGCATATCTCTTCAAACATCTTTTTCGTTGTGATGAGAGATATCTTGCATGGGATTTTCAGAGCTTGTTTCAGAGAGCTCTTCATGGAGTTCTTTGCTTTAAACGTGGGCTTGGTCTTCTTCTTCTTGGAGGACAACTTCTTGCAGGTGGCAGGTTTAGTGGGGCACATTTTGCTAGCAGTGAGAGGGTCACTGATGATGGGCACTGGTGAGTAGAGGCGCCGGATGTCACTGTACGTGTCGTCTAGCTCCTCTGGACATTCTGGTGGTTTTTCTTGGAGGGGCGTATCTGTTGCAATCTATAAAAGATCATATGCAAATAACTGACTGTTCATCTTTTAGATACTCTCCCAGTCTGCACAAGAAATGCAAAGTTGTCCAACCACTGTTATTCACCTGAAGCAACTTGTTCCAGGACTTACCTTGTCATGAGCATACAGCTTCTTGATGTCCACATACATGTCCTCCTCTTCAGTGTCAATGGAGTGTCCCACTTTCCTTTTGTTGGGTCTTGAGGGCGGGCTCTGCTGGCTGGTCTTCAAGGGGGGGACAGGAAGGAATTCAAAGGATTCCTCTCCAAGGATCTCCTTTACTAATGCTCGTGCGCTGGCTAGCTCTTCATCACTCACCTGAACAATGGACAATGGAAAATTTAAGAATAACATCACCAATAAGGTATAACAATGCTGTATGGGATATGGTTAGAATGATTTGTCTGCATACTGATTATGACAAGCACACTAATAATGACAACTATAATAATCCTTTCACACTATCACTGTCTCCTCTATGGTTACTGAGCACTTAACTCAGAGGTGTCACAGCTTAGTGACAAATCATATCTAAGTGTTGCAGCCTGATATACTACAGAGTATATATTTACATGGTCAACCCTTGGCATTCACAAACTATTTTTACCACAAGTATCAACATTCTACTCATTCCCACTATAGAAAGTGAAGCATTTTGCATAATGATTCAATGCATACTTAAAAACAGACTGTGTTGGGCTGAGGTAATAGGTGACCATGTATGAATACACTGTACACTCATGAACTAATTCTACAATAGTTGTTTGTGCTGATATTACCCAGCACAAAAAAACAGAGGGGAAGTGATTGCATGGACAAGCCTGAAGGAAATTCCATGAGTTTGGTGAAGATGATGAGAAACGCATGGAGGATGATATACTGCAGGAATGCGGAGATATCATAATTAGACTTTAAAATATTGTAAAAAAAAAAAAAAAAAAAAAAAAAAAGGGGGTGAAGCCATTCAAGAGAGAGCCATCCACAAACAGCTATAAGACGAACCTGTGTGAGTGCTTGGAGCCAAAGTGTGAGACCTGGCTCTGACGCAGACGTGTCCAGGGCCAGAGACAGTAAGGCAAGGCTAAGCAAAGATGGCCGGATGCTTCCACTGCGTCCTGAGCACACAACTCGCCACAATCGGTTTGTCAGGTGGCCCAGCTGACGTGTTGGCGATCCGCTCCTATAATAAGTTATATACTAAAAATTTGGAGTGATAATTTAGAACATGATGATATCAATTGAAGACAACCTGACAGATACAGCATTGTGCATAATAGATGAACATTTAAAAAGGCCACTTAACTTTAAAAAGTAGAATAATTTTTATGACATAATAAAAACAATGATAATAGTAAAAATAACAATAACAAAACAATAATAATAGTAATAGTAATAACAACAACAATAATAATAGTAATAATAAGAATAAAAATAGTAGTAATAACAATAACAACAGTAACAATATTAATAACAATAATAATTATCATTAATATAATTATTATTATAATCATTATTATCATAATTCATATACAATTTATATAATTATAATTATAATCATAATAATAACAAAAACACAACACCATAATAATAATAATAATGATAATAATAATAACAACAACAACAATAGTACCAATAATAATAAAAGTAAAATGAGCAAACAACGGTCTCTGAAAGGACAGGCTCAAAGAAAAATACTCCCAACACTCTGTTCATCACCAACCTCTGCGCTTGCTGGTGCTTCGGTGCAGAGACAATAGCCAAGGCATGAAGCACCTGAAGGAAATCCAGAGTGATGGACGCCTTCGGGTGCCATGACAGCTTGTCCAGCAGCACACGCTCCATCCGCAGGAGCTCTCGGTGGGTGCAGTCCATGCCTCCTCGCTCCACTACCTCTATCGTGGCTGGGACATTCTGCTCAGGAGGAGAGAAAAAAGAGAAGAGGCAGGAGATTGTGATTAATTTACATAATTCAGAGTTGTGTAAGTACATAGAAAAGAGAAAAGAAAATGGACTGTAATCCATTTATGTAATTCAGAGCTATGTAGGTACATAATGCAGCTACAATTGGTATCACTCCCAAATCTAGACCACAAAAAACTTGTATCACTCAACAATACCCTTATATTAAATACTAGGACCCTGGTTCTTAGTCAGGGAGGATCTCCTTGGCGGATATGCGATTTCTGGGGAAAGGAGTGAGTGAGTCTCAAGCCCATGGGAAAAGGGAAGAAATCTTTCTAATCCTACATGGAATTTTCTTAGCAAGTGTTGTTGCCCTTATGCAGTGCTTTGACAGAATACTTTCAGCTTCTATATTTCAATTCAAAAGGAATATCTAATCATCTAACTGAAGATGTGAGGGCGAGGGGGGGGGGGACAAATAGAAAGGGCCCACTATCAGCACTTGGAATAGTTTAAGAACAACAGACGGCCTGCTACAGTGCTGGTAAAAAAAATAACAGTTCAATGACAATTTTCATGCTATTTATATGATCATGAGATATCAATTTATGAAATCTTCATACAGGACAAGTATGACATGACTGTTCTGAAAATCTGAAAGGAGGAGGAAGAAAGAGGGTAAAACATAAAAGAAGAAAGAGAAAGAAAAGAAGCAACTGAGGAATAAGAAAAGGAAAAATGGAAGGAGAATGAGAATGAGGAACAGGGGAAGACATAAAAGAAGAGAGAGAAGGAATAAGAAAGGAGGCAAGAGAAGAATAAGAAAAGGAAGAGGATGATGAGGAAGAAGAGAGGAAAGTAAAAAAATAAGAAATTGAAAAGAAGAAAAGTGGAATTAGTAGCAGCAGAAGACAAAAAAGAATGGAAAGGAAAAGAAGAAAAAAAGATAGGATAAAGAAGAAGAAAGATAAAGAAGAAACGCAAAACAAAGAAAATGAAGATGAAAAAAGAAAAGAAACGAAAAAAGAGAAAGAAAAGAAAAAAAAAAGGAAAATATCCACAAACAAGCAACCAAAAGAGTGCCCCCACCTCGTCCTCCTCGTGGATCTTGGCGGCGATGAAGAGCGCAGCGGCCCCGACGGCGTGCAGGTACCGCGGCGGGATCCTGACGCGGTGCAGGAGGCGGTCCAGCAGCGCCGCCGCCGTGAAGCCCGTCTCGGGCGCCCACCCCAGCCGCCTGCACGCCGCCCCCTGCCAGCTCACCTGCCGGTCCCGCCCCGCCACGCCCACCTCCTCGCCCTGTAACGAAAGAGAAGGTCAGTCTGTGAATGCATGGGCGTGTGATGGTGAATAAATACATATAAGGGTTAAAATTAAAATAATCATGTGAATAAATAAGCATATCGTACACACAATATAAATAAGTAAATAGACAAAAAATATAATAATAAATAAAATAAAATAAAAAGTAAATAGAAAAAAAATACGTAAAATAAATAAAAAAAATAAAAAAAATATAATGATTACATACATAAATCACACTAGATATTGAATATATCTGAATTAACAAAGAGCCTACGTAAATAAAAAGAAGTACAGAGAAAGGATAGTAAAGAAAATCCGTAATGAAAAAGGTCAATAAAAGAACAAATACATAATCAAATACAAACCGTAACAAATTCATTCACACATATACAATACTAAATAAAATAAGTACATTTTCACACAACACAACCGCAACCAAGACAGTAAAAATATAAACAAGGTAGAAAAAATTAAAAATAACAAATAAACAAATAAGTATAAAGACAAATTAGCCAAGAGACACACACATCGCGAGCAGGGTCGACAAGCTGAGCATCGCTTTGCGCTGTCACAAAATTAAAAAAAAAAAAAAATACATACTGTGACCATAACATTAAAATAACCTAGAGAGAGAGAGAGAGAGAGAGAGAGAGAGAGAGAGAGAGAGAGAGAGAGAGAGAGAGAGAGAGAGAGAGAGAGAGAGAGAGAGAGAGAGAGAGAGAGAGAGAGAGGTGGGAGGGGAGGGAGGGAGGGAGGGAGGGAGGGAGGGAGGAAGGAGGAAGGAAGGAGGAAGGAAGGAAGGGGAAGGAAGGAAGGAAGGGAAGGAAGGAAGGAAGGAAGGAAGAAGAGAGAGAGAGAGAGAGAGAGAGAGAGAGAGAGAGAGAGAGAGAGAGAGAGAGAGAGAGAGAGAGAGAGAGAGAGAGAGAGAGAGAGAGAGAAATGTGAAGAGTTTACATCCACCATCTGCAGGCCGCCAGCATTCCCCGTGGCGCAATCACACACAATGACACACACTCCTAACACGTTAACCCAGGCCTCTCGCTACTCAGTCACTCATTCACTCACTTACTCATTCTCTCATCTACTCACTTACACACTCATTCTCACATCTACTCACTTACACACTCATTCTCACATCTACTCAATCTACCACTATTCTCTCATCTACTCACTTACACACTCATTCTCTCATCTACTCACTTACACTCTTACTCATTTACTCTTCACACTCAATTACTCATTTACTCGCACACATTCACTCATTTACTCACACACATTCACTCATTTACTCACACACATTCACTCATTTACTCACACACATTCACTCATTTACTCACACACATTCACTCATTTACTCACACACATTCACTCATTTACTTTCACTCATTTACTCACACACATTCACTCATTTACTCACCTGCACGCTCATTTACTTATTTACTCACTTACAAACTCATTCACTCCTTTAATCACACACTCAATCCCTCATTAACTCACTCACACACTAAATCACTCATTTAAGTCACACACTCACTCATTTACTTATTTCAACACTTACAATTTCATTTATTTATTCAAGTACCCTCTCACTCATTTACTTACTCACTAACTCCGTCAAATAACTCGTTTTCTCTTGATTCACTCTTTCATCCACTCACCCGTTCCCTCATCACTGACACACGCACTCACTCATTTATTCTTTCCCTCATCCACTCACTCAATCACTTATTTCCTCTCTCATATATTCACTTACTCACTAATTCTCCCTCTCTCCCTCTCTCCCTCTCATCCCTCTCTCCCTCCCTCCCTCCTCTCCTCCTCCCTCTCCCTCTCCTCTCCCTCCCTCTCTCTCCCTCCCTCCCTCTCTCCTCCTCTCCCTCTCTCCTCCTCTCTCTCTCCTCTCTCTCCCTCCCTCCCTCTCTCCTCCCTCTCTCCCTCTCTCCTCCCTCCCTCTCTCTCTCCCTCCTCCTCCCTCCCTCTCTCCCTCCTCTCTCCTCTCTCTCCTCCTCTCTCTCTCCCTCCCTCCCTCTCTCCCTCCCTCCCTCTCTCCGCTCTCTCCCTCCTCTCTCCCTCCTCTCTCTCCTCCCTCCTCCCTCCCTCCCTCTCTCTCTCTCCCTCCCTCCCTCTCTCCTCCCTCCTCTCCCTCCCTCCCTCCCTCCCTCTCCTCTCTCCCTCCCTCCCTCCTTGCCCCCGCACCCGCTTCGGCCTCAAGATCCAGCAACCGCGATGCAGTTTCCCCAAATCCATTTCGCGAACGCATGCAACACTGCGGTTCCTGCGCGTTCGGGTTTTCGGGCGATATATACATGTTGCACTGTGGTTCCCCCCTTTTCCCCCTCCCTCCCCCTCCCTCCCCCCACTCCCCCGACCATTCCCCTGGACTGGGTTTCTGTTGTTATGCAAGTTGCAACAGACGAAAACATCATCGCAAACACGGTAACCCGAATAAGAGCGAGGTACATGTGAACTGTATTTTTAATTTTTTTTTTTCCTTCTTTGTTTATTTATTCCTTTCTTTCTTTCCTTCTAAACTGGAGCAGTCTGACCGGGACAGATGTAACCCGTTGTTGTTAAAACCCGAAGAATATCTATTAACATGGACATGCGTATACATAGAAATAGATGCATAAATGTCTATCTGACAGGTATGCATTTATCTACCTATCCATCAACCCGGTAGATATGAATGTTTAGACAGATATGCATTTATTTTCGTGTATGCACATGTCCGTAAAATGAATGGTCACTGAGCCGGACCTCGCACAATTTTCACAAAACTGGCCATCTGTCTCCAGATGCAGACGTGTGTGAAATATGCAATTCCTGCGCAAATATAGGAATGAGAATTTGCACGTATGTAAAAGCGCGTGAATTTTGTCTTGGGTGAGGCGTTAACCTACATCCAGTCAAGCCTAGGTTCTGGAAGGTCTTGGGCCCTGGAAATCAGTTAATCAAAGCAGGGTTTTTTCATCTGGGGTCCTTGGATGGGTTCCAGGGGATACCCGTGAGGATATGATAAAAACCAATATTCATATTCGCTGTTTGCAGCATAAAAAAGAGTACTTTTTAAAATATTGTTTACTTGTGTATCTCATATACGTATGAGTCACTCAAATCTCATAAAATAAAGTACACTCTACACATTAAATCCATTTTTTTTTTTTTTTGGGGGGGGGAGGAAAGGGTCCATAGCTTTCACTAGACCCTTAAAGAGGTCCGTCACGCAGCACAGGTAAAGAACCACTGAGCCATAAAGATAAATA